GGTTAGAGAAAAAGAGGAAGATTCCAACGTGATGGATTGACACAGTGGCAGCAGCAATGAATCAAACATAGCAACAATTGTGAGGTTGGCTCAGGACCGGGCACTGTCTTGTTCTGTTGTGCATAGGGTCGCTATGAGTTGGTACCAATTCTTTGGCACCTAACGACAATCACAAAACATTTCATGTTCTGATTACTAATGGATGTTTACAGCTGTTTGTCTTAATTTGGAGTTGTGCTCCATCAGCAAATGAAGGTTCAAAAGGCTTTATTGTATTTGTGTTATCACAGTCAACTCTACTTTTGAGGGGCAGCTCTCTGTCCCCAGTCACATTTTGAGTGCCTTCCAAACAGGTGCTCATCTTCCGACACTATATCTGAAAACATATTTACTATTTAATAGTTAAAAAAGAATGGTGAAATGGGTGAATGGAACAAAATGATGTGGGAGATGAAAGGAAAGAGGAGCCCCTCAAGGTTTTAAACAAGGGTATGATATAATTTCATTTATATTTTAAAAATAAGTGTAGGTATTTGTAGAGAATGGACTGGAAGTACCAATGTGGAAATAGATTCATACTTCATACATTTCATCTTGAGAATATTAATGGATGCATACAGCTTTGTCTCTTCATTTTGAGTATGCCCCATCAGGAAATAAAGATCCTGAAGGCTTTACTCCATTCATATCATCATGGTCACTGTATTTAGAAGAGGCATCCATAGTTCTATTTAGAGTGCTTTCAAATTTAAATCTGGGAAAAATTGAAAATTGTCAAAAATGAAAAGGAATGCATAAACATGAATATCCTAAATGTTGTTGTTGTTAAGTGCCACTGAGTTGATTACTACCAATAACGACCCTACATAGGGTTTCCAAGGAACAGTTGGTAAGCTTGAACCTCCGACCTTGCAGTTCAAATGACTTTTCAATCCAGCACATTAGCCTACAGTGCCAACCAGGAATTAGTGAGCTGAAATGAACTGGTATTGGTCATTTTAAATCTTACAACCACATAGATTTATTATGCTGGGAATGGAAAATTGAAGAGGAATGGCATTGCATTCATCATCAAGATCTGTCTTGAAGTACAGCACTGTCTGTGATAGGATAATATCCATGTACCTACCAGCTAGACCAGTTAGTAGTACCATTATTATTCAAGTTTATGCACCAACCACTACAGCCAGTGATGATGAAATTGAAGAATTCTACCAACTTCTTCAATCTGAAATTGATCAAACGTGGAATCAAGATGTATTGATAATTATTGGTGTTTGGAAGGACATCCTTGGGAAAAAGAGAAAGGATCAGTAGCTGGAAAATATGGCCTTGGTTGTAGAACAATGCTGGAGATCACATGATAGAAGTTTGCAAGACCAATGACTTCTTCATTTCAAATACCTTTTTTAAACAACCTAAAATGGATCTCACCAGATGAATGCACATAAACTAAATTGAGTACATTTGTGGAAAGAGATGATGGAAAAGCTCCATATCATCAGCTGAAACAAGGTCAGGGTAGACGGTGGAACAGACAATTGGTCATAGGCAAGTTCACGCTGAAGTTGAAGGAAATTAAAACAAGTCGACGAGAGCCAAAATTTGACCTTGAACATATCTGATTATCTGAAGAACAGACTTGATGCATCAGACACTAAAGACTGAATGAAGGACCAGAAGAGTTGTGCAAGAACATCATACAGGAAGAAAGCAAAAAGTCTCTAAGAACAAAAGAAAGAAGGAAACGAGCAAAATGGATATCAGAAGAGATTCTGAAACTTGCTCTGCAAGAAATGAGGAGGTAAAATAGTTGAATAGAAAATTTCAAAGAGCAGCTTGAGAAGACAGGGTCAAATATTATAACAAAAAGTTCAAAGTCCTGGAGTTTGAAAACCAAAAGGGAAGAACATGCTCAGCATTTCTCAAGCTGAGGGAACTAAAGAAGAAACTTAAACCTCCATTTGCAATAATGAGGATTCTTTGGACAAAATATTGAGTGATGCAGAAAGCATCAAAAATATAGAACAAATTCAGTCTCTGTACCAAAAATAAATGGTCAATTTCAATGAGTAGCATATGATTAAGTGCCAATTATGCTAAAGGAAGAAGTTCAAGGTGCATTGAAGGCATTGGCAAGGAACAAGGCACCAGGAATTGATGGAATACAAATTGAAATGTTTCAACAAATTGATACAGCACTGGAGGCAATCATTTGTCTATGCCAAAAAATTTGGAAGACAGGTACCTGGCCAATCTACTTGAAGAAATCCATATTTGTGACCATTCCAAAGAAGGGTGACCCAATGGAATGTGGAAATCACTGGACAATATCATTAATATCACATGCAAGTAAAATTTTGCTAAAGATAATTTTTTAAATGCTACAACCGTACATTCACAGAACTTCTAGACTTTCAAGCCAGATTCAGAAGAGGATATGGAATGAGGCATATTATTTCTGATGTCAGATGGATATTGGCTGAAAACCGAGAATACCAGAAAGATATTTACCCTTGTGCATTATTGACTATGCAGAGGCTTTAGATTGTGTGGACTGTGGCAAGCTATGGACAACATTTCAGAGAATGAGTCTTCCAGAACACTTAATTGTGTTCATGAGGAACTTGTACATAAACCAAGCAATTATTTGAACAGAAAAAGGGAACATTGAATGGTTTAAATTTAGGAAAGATGTGAGCCAGGGCTATATTCTTTCACCATACTTAATCAATCTGTATGCGGATCAAATAATCTGAAAAGCTGAATTATATGAAGAAAACATGTCATCAGTATTGGAGGAAGACTCATTAACAACCTGCGATATGCAGATGATACAACCACTTGCTGAAAGCCAAGAGGACTTAAAATACTGATGCTTATCAAAGACCACAGCCTTCGGTATTGTACCTCAATGTACAGAAAAAAATATCCTTGCCACTGGGGCAGTAAACAACATCCATATAATTGGAGGGAAAAATATGAAGTTGTCAGAGGCTTTATTTTGCTTGCATAACCATGAATAGTCATGGAATCAGGAGTCAAGAAATCAAATGACATTTTGCATTCGACAAATGTGCTGTGTAATACCTCTTTAAATTGTTCAAGAGCAAAGATGTCAGTTTGAGGACTAAGGCATGCCTGGCCCAAGCCATGGTATTTTTTCAGTAACCTCATATGCATGTGAAAGTTGAATAGTGAATAAGGAAGGCTATAGGAGAATTGGTGTATTTATGGTGTTAGAGTTGAATATTAAAAGTATCATGGACTGCAAAAGAACAAACCACTATGTGTTGGAAGAAGTAGAGCCAGAATGCTCTTTAGAAGCCAGAATGGCCAGACTTCGTCTCTCATATTTTGAACATAGTATCAGGAGGAACTAGGCCCTGGAGAAGGATATCATGTTTGGTAAAGTTGTTGTTGTTAAGTGCCATTGAGTCGATTCCAACCCATAGTGACCCTGTATAGGGTTTCCAAGGAGCAGATGGTGAGCTTGAACCGCCGACCTTGTGGTTCAGATGGCTTTGCAGTCTGGCACATTAACCCACAGTGTCACAGAGAGTCTGGAAAAAAAAAAAGTAGAAGACCCTTAATGAGATGGGTTGTCACAGTGGCAAGTTCAGTGGGCTGAAATACAACAAGGATTGTGAGTTTGATACAGTACCTGGCAGTGTTTCCTTTTTGTGTGCATATGGTTGCTATGAGTCTTTAGTGACTCAATAGCTCCTAACAACAGCAGCAAATATGTAAAACCTTGCGGTCTCATAAGCTTTTCAGTTTTACCTCCAATGTTCTTAATCCCCCTATTCACATACATGGCAGGCTTTTGTTAAAAAATTATGTCTTTCAATAAAGAGTAAAAAGTATACTCCCTTTTAAGCACTCTGAGTAAAAATAGGCACTTAATGCTCTCCTTTATTCTTCTCTGCCCAGAAATTTAGAATTGGAAACAGAAATGTATTTTCTCATCTAGCAAAGTGTTCGTCTGTTAGTTGATATTTTTGAAGGTATATGGCTTATGCTTATTTAAAACTAGAAGGAATATGAAGAGACAAACAGTTATAAGAACAAAGATGTCTTCTTACCATCTTATCTCCTAAGGAAAAGGAGTTAGTATTTGTACTTATTAGGTTATTTGCTAAGACATATTTCATAAAATTAGACTTAAAGTAGTTAAATGGATTTGCCAAGGTTTGAGCTAGACTTGGTTCTGTTAAATCCTACTACTCTATTAAAGCCTACTTAATAATTTGGCAATAAAGAAAGAAAATACTATTAGTGCAGAAGGTATAAGAGTTCTGTTTCTTTATCCTAATAGAACTTGTTTTCCTGACCATTGACACTCATTTCTAGCTTTCTAGTAAAAATCAGATAGGAAACTCTGTTACTCCTTAGTTCAGATAGATTGCATCCCTAAATTTTCTTGACAATTCACTTTGAAGAGATGATGGACCCAAAGCTGCAAACAAGGTAGGCAGATTTTATTCAGCTCTTTTAAAATTAATTTGCTTGCTAATTAATTAATTAATTCAATCAAATAATTAATTAAATAAGATTGTGTCTGACTTTAAACACAAGCAAATTTGATGGTAGCTTAAACAAATAGAGAATGAGCAATTTTCTCAGATGAGTCCAGAAACAGATAGTCCAGAACTAGTTTAGCTTCTTCCCCTTCCCCATTCTTGGTGGGTTGGCTTTTTACCCTTTTGCTTTCTACCGTTTGGTCACTGGTGATTCTTCTTCTTCTATTCAGTAGCTGAAAGGTGCAAAGGTATAAAAGGGTGAAGGGAGATGCCATGTTTGCTAAATATCATTTCCAAGAAAGGCTATGGATTAATCAGACTTCTCATTGTTTAGAAGTATATCCTATGGCTGTTTGTAGGTATAAAATGAGTAGGTAGAAAATGATTACTGTGCGTAATCTAATGCTTCCTTCATATAATTTCTTTTAACATGATAATCCAAGTACCTACAATGATAATAATGAATTGTACTTTTAGATTTACATTGGTGCAGAAGCATACAGTGGAATTTAACCAAGTGGCAATGGCTAATTCAGATGGATCCGAAGCTATGCTGAACAGAGTAATGACAAAAGATAACATTGGTGTTGCTGTGGTATTAGAGGTCCACAAAGAACTATTTGGAGCAGGTGAGTGCAATTTAAAATATTCTTATTAAAAATAAACACCATTGACATTTTTCTCATCTCTAAGCAGGCTGACCACCACTCGTCTGTCAGTTTGTTGTACTTTGGTGACTTGTGAGTTGCTGTGATTCTGGAAGCTATACCACGTATCAGTAGGGTCACCCATAGTGGACAGGTTTCAGATAAGCTTCCAGACAAAGACAGACTATGAAGAATGGGGACAGACTACTTCTGAATATTTAGTCACTGAAAACCTTATGTGTAACAGAGAAACACTGTCAGATATAGTGCTGGAAAATGAGCCCATCAGGTTGGAAGGCACTCAAAATGCAACTGGGAAAGAGCTGTCTCCTCAAAGTTGAGTTGACTTTGATGATGTGAATGGAGTAAAGCCCGTGGGAGTAAAGCCCTGGTGACCTTCATTTACTGGTGGGGCACAACTCAAAATGAAGAGAAACAGCTGTAAACATCCATTAATAATCAGAATATGGAATGTACCAAGTATGAAACTTGGAAAATAGGAAATTGTCAAAAATGATATGGAACACGTAAACATCGATATCTTAGGCATTAGTGAGCTGAAATGGACTGGTATTGGCCATTTTGAATCTGACAACCACATGGTTTACTATGCCAGGAATGAGAAATTGAAAAGGAATGATGTTGTCAAAAAGAACATGGTACAACTCTGTCTGTGATAGGATAATATCCATGTGCCTTTAGGCAAGACCAGTTAATACCCACTATTATTCAGATTTATGACCAACCACTAAAGCCAGTGAAGATGAAATAGAAGAATTTTACCAACTTCTTCAATCTGAAATTGATCAAACATGCAATCAAGATGTATTGATCATTACTGGTGATTTGAATGCAATGGTTAGGAGCAAAGAGGAAGGATCATTAGTTGGAAAATATGGCCTTGATGATAGAAATGATGATGGAGATCGCATGATAAAATTTTGCAAAATCAATGAGTTGTTCATTTCAAATACCTTCTTTAAACAGCATAAGAGACAGTTATATACAAGGACCTTGCAAGAAGGAATACACAGAAATCAAGTAGATTGTATCTGTGGAAAGAGACGATGGAAAAGCTCCATATCATCAACCAAAACAAGGCCAGGGGCAGATCGTGGAACAGGCCATCAACTACTCATATGAAAATTCAAACAAGCTGAAGAAAATGAAAGCAAGTCCATAAGAGCCAAAATATGACCTTGAATATATTCCACCTGAATTTAGAGATCATCTGAAGAAGAGAGTTGATACATTAAACACTAAAGACCAAAGACCAGAAGAGTAGTGGGATGACATCAAATACATCATACATGAAGAAAGCAAAAAGTCATTAAGAAGACAAGGAAGAAGGAAAAGATCACAAAGGATGTCAGAAGAGACACTGAAACTTGCTCTCCAGTGTAGAGATGCTAAAGCAAATGGAAGAAATGAGGAAAACAAGCTGAACAGAAAATTACAAAGGTCAGCTCGAGAAGACAAAGTCAAATATTACATTAAAATGTGCAAAGATCTGGAGTCAGAAAATAAAAAAGGAGGAACATTCTCAGTATTTCTCAAGCTGGGGGAACTTAAGAAAAAAATTCAACCCTTGACTTTCGTTATTGAAGGATTCTCTGAGCAAATTATTGAATGATGCAGAAAGCATCAAAGGAAGATGGAAGGAATACACAGAATCACTGTACCAAAAGGACATGGTTGATATTCAGTCATTTCAAGAGATAGCATATGATCAAGAGCCAATGATACTGAAGGAGGTAGTCCAAGGTGCATTGAAGGAATTGACAAAGAACAAGGCACCAGGAATTAATGGAATAAAAGTTGAAATCTTTTAAAAAAGTGAGGTGGCTCAGGAGGTGCTCACTCATCTATGCCAGGAAATTTGGAAAACAACTATCTGACCGACTGATTGGAAGAGATCCATATTTGTGCCCATTCCAAAAGAGGTGACCCAACGGAATGTGGAAATCATCGGACAATCTCTTTGATATCCCATGCGAGTAAAGTTTTATTCAAGGTAATGCAGAAATGGCTGCAAGTATATATTGCCAGAGAACTTCCATAGGTTCAAGCCGGATTCAGAAGAGTCCGTAAAATGAAGGATATCATTGCTGATGTCTGATGGATCTTGGCTGAAAGCAGAGAATACTAGAAAGATGCTTATACCTGTGCTTTATTGACTATGCAAAAGCTTTCAATTGTGTGGATTATGACAAGCTATGGATAACATTGCAAAGTTTGAATGTCTGGAACCCTTAATTGTGCTCATGAGGAATCTGTCCATTGACCAAGAGGCAGTTAGTCATGGGAACACTGAATGGTTTAAAATTAAGAAAGGTGTGTGACAGGGTTGTGTTATTTCACCAAATTTAGTCAACCTTTATGCTGAGCAAATAATCTGAAAAGCTGGGTTCTATGAAGTAAAATATGGCGTCAGGATTGGAGGAAGACTCATTAACAACCTGCAGTGTGCAGATGATACAAACTTGTTTGCTGAAAGTGAAGAGGATTAAAATACTTAATGATGAAATTCAAAGACCACAGCCTTCAGTATGGATTGCATCTCAGTGTAAAGAAAACAAAAATCCTCACCACTGGACCAGTAAACAGCATTCTTATCAGTGGGGAAAAGATTGAAGTTGTCAATGACTTCATTCTTCTTGGATCAATCATCAACACTCATGGAAGCAGCAGTCAGGAAATTAAACAACGTATTTCATTGAGCAAATCTGCACAAGACCTTTTAGAAGTATTGAAGGGCAAAGATGTCAGCTTGAGGACTATGGTGCACCTGACCCAAGCCATGGTATTTTCAATAACCTCATATGCATGTGAAAACTGGACAGTGAATAAGGAAGACCGTAGAAGAATTGATGCTTCTGAGTTATGGTGTTGGAAGAGAATATTGAAAGTGTCTTGGGGTGCAAAAAGAACAAACAGATCTGTGTTGGGAGAAGTGCAGCCAGAGTGCTCTTTGGAGCCCAAAATGGACAAACTTTGTGTCTCATACTTTGGACATAGTGTCAGGAGGGACTAGTTGCTGGAGACAGGTACCATGTTTGGTAAGGTGGAGGGTCAGAGAAAAAGAGAAAGACCCCTATCGAGATGGATTGGCAAAGTGGCAGCATCAATAGGCTCAAGCTTGGCAACAATTGTGAGGTAGGTCCAGAACTGGGCAGTTTTTCATTTTGTTGTTCCATAGGATCGCTATGAGTCGGTACCCACTCAATGGCACCTAACAACAACAAAGCAGGTTGAGGGAATTTTGCCATAATCTATTGCATAGATAATTACCATATATCATCTGAAGATAGTTAAGGAAGATCATTAAAAAAAACAAACAAAAATACCAACAATGAAATGCACTAATTGCTGTTTAAAGGATCATATATGTCTTGGCTTAATAATCACCAGGTAATCAGTGTAACCACAAGCCCAAACTCATTGAGTCAGTTCCATTCATAGTGATCTGGATAGGGTTTCCAAGACTGCACATCTTTATAGGATACAGCCTCTTTCTACTTCAGAGTGACTGGCGAGTTTAAACTATTGACCTTGCGGTTAGCTCAGTGCGTAACATACAGTGCCACCAGGTATTTGAGTTTCAATAGGTCATTCATTATAAAAGCTTCTTTAAAATAGGAAATAATTATATTAGGCTAAATTCAGAAATTATGATGACGGTTGTTTTTCAGTGCACATTTTTAGCTCTTTGGGTGTGACTCTTTCGTCTTGAAGGTTAAGTACTTGGCACATTTTTTTTTTTCTGATTTCTTTATTATATTTCATTCATTGTCAAGGTAAAAGTAGGATCTTACCTGATACTTTTCTTTAGCGTGGATTATTTATAGCTTCCCTTAAAGTCTTCCTATGTCATCTACTTTGAGTTTTCTAGACTTCTTTTTCTCCTTTCTAATTCTTGTTTTTCATCATTTCATTATTTACTTAGTTTATGTTAGGCAAAATCAAGGAAGTTTAAGACTGTCCCTCCAACTGGGTTTATTAATAACAGAAGAAAAGATTTTTGCCTTCATTATTGATTTCAATCATTTTGACAGCCTGTGTCTGTCCAACCTGATTTTTCCACCATTCTGCAGTTTGTCATCAAAAAAGTTTTTAGTGGTAAGAAATTTAGAATTCTTCTTTTCAATTCTTTTCTATCTACTTTTATACCCTTTCACTTTCATCCTTGTTATGGTGCTTTTTTTCCCATCTTATAACATGAAAATTGAATTCTTTTGGAGTTTTACACACCTTTGAATATGTTGAGGAGTAGTTATAAATTTGGAAGATAGCTACCTGGCTAACCGATTGGAAGAGATCCATATATGTGCCCATTCCAGAGAGGTGAACCAATAGAATGCAGAAATCATTGAAAAATATCATTAATATCCCATGCAAGTAAAATTTTGCAGAAGATAATTCAAAAACGTACCAACTGTACATCAAGAGGTAACTGTCAGAAATTCAAACCAGATACAGGTGTGGAACTAGGGATATCATGCTGATGTCAGACGAATCTTGACTGAATACAAAGAATGCCAGAAAGATGTTTACTTGTGCTTAATTGACTATGCAAAGAATTTCATCTGTGTGGATCATGACAAGCTATGGATAGCGTATGAAGAATGACTATTTCAGAACACTTCATTGTTTTCATTAGGAACCTGTACATAGAACAAGAGACAGTCATTCGAACAGTACAAGGGGATACTGAATGATTTAAAATCACAAAAGGTATATGCCATGGTTGTATTCTTTCACCATACTTATACAGTTTGTATGCTGAGCAAATAATCAGAGTAGCTGGATTATATGAAGAAGAATACGGCATCAGGATTGTAGGAAGATTCATTGAAAACAGTGATATGGCAGGTGATATAATCTTGCTTGTTTAAAGTGAAGAGAACTTAAAATATTTAATTGATGAAGATGAAGGACTATAACCTTAATGCAAAGGGAACAAAAATCCTCACAACAGGACTAATAAATAACATCACAGCCAATGGAGAAAAGATTGAAGTTGTCACAGACATCATTTTGCTTGGATCTACCATCAACACACATGGAAACAGTAGTCATGAAATCAAACAATACATTACATTAGGCAAATCTGCCGCACAAGACCTCTTCAAAATGTTCAAGAGCAAAAATAACAGTTTGAGGAACCAAGTTACTCATGACCCAAGTTATGATATTTTCAATAGCCTCATATGCATTTAAAAGTTGTGGTTACGAATCGGGCTGCGAACCTGAAGGTCAGCAGTTCAAAACTACCAGCAGCTCTGTGGGAGAAAGATGAGGCTTTCTACTCCTGTAAAGATTTACACCCTCAGAAACCTTGTACAGGGTCGCTGTGGGTCGGAACCGACTCGACGGCACTTAACAACAATAACAAATATTGAATAAGGAAGACCGTAGAAGAATTGATACATTTGAGCTATTATGCTGGAGAAGAATATTAAAAATACCGTGGGCTAAATCAAGTAGTATTACTACAAATTCTTAGAAACCTTTATAAACAAAATTATCAAAATGTGTAGCTATTATTTCTTGACATTAGTGTTCATCTTCAGGAAGTGTCTCCAGTCTTTTTCATCGTTACCTGAAGAACTTTGTACTCTTTGATTTACACATTAAAATGGCAGTTTGGGCATCCCTGAGGGACTCAAATTACATTTCTTTACAGTGAACTCTTGAGTTTTAAGAACAAAAAAAAGTCTGAAGGGGGCAAGATCAAGGTGGTAGGGTGAGTGTGGTAAGGTTTCCCAATGAAATTCTCTCAGGTGTCACATCTCTTGCTACCCTAGAAGAATGCATAGGTACGTTGTTGTGATGAAGAAAAAATTCCTTGGTGTAACTTTCTTGGCCTTTTCTTTTTTTTAAAATCTGTACTGTTTTCCTTATGATGATTGCCCTGTGTCCTTTGAAAAAAAAAAAATCTGTGAAGATTATACCCTTTGGAATCCCAAAAGACAGTCACCATAACCTTCTGAGTTACCTTTCTGCCTTGAGTTGAACTTTGCTAAGCGATCCCCTGGAAGTCATTGTTTTTTTTTTATTTGTCATTGATTTTGCTGTCTGAATTGTATTGCCAAATTCAAGGTTCCTTATGTGGTTATGCTTCATTTAACAAAATTGTCTTCATTAGCTTCAATTTTTATTTTGTTTAAAAGACTGATGGAAATAAGAACTTTTGGAGGTACCTGATATTCCTATAACACTTTGGCCTCTATTGAGCCAAAAACCTCCTAGAATCTAGATATTGCTGTTAAGTGCCGTTGAGTCGGTTCTAACCCATAGTGACTGCATAGCGTTTCCAAGGAGTGGCTAATGAGCTTGAACCACTGACCTTGTGATTCAAACCAATTTTGCAGTCTAGTACATTAGTCCATAGGGCCACACCAGGACTCCAGTAGTTTGTTAAAATTAAAAATGATTCATGTGAGATCCCAACTTCCTATGTCATAAATGGTAATTTTATGACCATCTTCCACCAGTTTCTGCTCTTCAGTCACAGTTAATTCTTTCATCAAGGCTGACAGTCTTACCTTTTTTTAATGTGTCTTTAAGCTTTTCCTGACCTCCCTTAAAACATTTGTCCATCTAAATTCTGTTGCTTTATGTGGGATTGTATTTCTGTAAACTTGTAAAGCTTTAGTGATTTGGGACGATGTGTATTAGAATTTTGTTAAAAATTTGCTATTTGACTTGACCTCAAAATTAGGTTTTTCCATGGCACACAACTGTCACTTGTTTTTAAGGCACCCTAATTAAGACTAAGACCAAGTGTATTACTAAGAGATTGCCTACAGCCATCTATTGATCACAGAATCATAGTTAAACACATTTTCTTTGGCACAAACCCATGTGTATATGAACTAGAACCCTAGTAGCTAGCAATGCTTTTTGACTTACCTTCATATGTATATAATTTAATTTAACTCACATCATACCATGCTTACTGAGCTGTATGCCTTGAATATTTTATGGACATCGTTTTCTGTCAGCATATGTTAACTAGCTATTTAATTTTCACAATTTTCAGTGTAGTTGAATACCTCATTTTTAAAATGAACCTGAGCACCGAAGTGGCTAAATAACTTGTCTAAGACCACCAAAATAATAAGTACTAAAGTCAGGTCTAAACCCCAAGCAACTAGACTTTGAGAGTCCAATTCTTACTAGAAAAAAATTATTTTGGTAAATCGTGTAAATTTGTTTTGGTAACAAATTCACTTCCTAGTTTTTATTTTGTAAAGGCAAATATAATGGCTATACCATTTACTACTGACCTGTCTTTTTCATGTGTTCTGGGAAGGCAAGGTGAATGAGTTTTAGATAGTGAAGATATTAAATTCAGGTTTAGCTAACTGAAATCACTGAAAACCTGCCACACAGGGCTACTGTAATCTTTAAATGACAGATATTTTATGTACTTGTTAAACCAAATTCATCATATGAAAGGCACTATAATTGATTATATGGCATAATTCCTAATTTAGGCATGTACAAGTGTCACTTAGTAAATACTTTAGTTTCTGTGGACCACATACAGTTTCTGTCACAGGCTTCTAGGCGTCTTTTCTTGGTGTGGTGGTGGTGGTGGTATGCCGTGGTGTCGGGTCTGACTCGTAATGACCCTGCATAGGGTTTCTGAGGTTATAAATCTTTCCAAGAGCAGAAAGCCTTATTTTTCTCCACAGAGCTGCTGATGGACTTAAATAACTGACCTTGTGGTTCACAGTTCAGTACTTATCCTATGCTGTGTATATTTTCACCAAAAATTAAATAAATATACCCACTCCTCACTTACTTAGTTAAGTTCCAACGTCCAAGTTGTTATGCAAAAATTGACGTTATACAAAAATAGAGGAAGGCTACTTTATATAAATGGCCAAATTATATGTTTACCTGCTGCCAAACTACTGAAAATCATGGCCCAGCCAAGTTGATACATTGCCTTAACTATCACAGCCAATGAGCATTACTGTCTCACCTTGTCACTTAGGTGTTTGTTGCTGCCACACATGTTTCATCACAGCACAAAATATTAGGATAGCAGATTTTTTTTACTGTGGTTATAAATGTGAATTTATAATGAGATAGTCGATAAGTGAGGAGTAGGTACACATATTTTTTTAAGAAGACTAAACCATCTTAGCTTGCATCGGTTATACAAAAATAGATTGTGGATCAGATTTAGTTCCTGGGCAACAGTTTGCTGACTCGTTATCTAGAAGAATATTTTTCAGATTAGGATCACTAGAATCTCAGTACTTTAGCTTTTAAGAAGTTTAAAAGGCAAGGCATAAGCTTATGGAAAAGAATAACATGACTATGGGTTTTTGGGAGAAAACCTTACTACTTTTCTTGGCATGTAAAACATAATCTTATCTTCCTTTTTCTAATGTTTAAATTTAGGTATGAAGCCTATTCATGTTGCAGACAAACAGCTGCTTATTGTGGCAAATGCCCACATGCATTGGGACCCAGAGTATTCTGATGTGAAACTCATCCAGACCATGATGTTTGTCTCAGAAGTTAAAAACATTCTGGAGAAAGCCTCTAGTAGGCCTGGCAGTCCAACCGCAGATCCTAATTCCATCCCGCTGGTGCTATGTGCAGATCTTAACTCATTGCCAGATTCAGGTATTTATAATAGCATTTCTTCTTTGCTTTCAGTTGAAAGACCAGATAGCTCCTAACTTGTGAATAGAGAATTTATCTTGTAACTTACGGAGCATACCAGTAAGAATCACAGGGATAGGGCTATGAGGTAATTGAAGGGTGCTTAATAAAAAACTTTTTCTAAGGTATGGGCAGGGTAAGGGAAACCAATAAAGAATGATACAGCTCTCTGGAATTAGGACAGCTTAGAACCCTTTGCCTAAAGGGGAGGCCGGTATGGCACTATAGGATAAGCATTGGACTCTTATCCACAAGGTTGACAGTTCAAACCCTCCAGCTACTCCTTGGAAACCCTATACAAGGTCACTGAGTCTGAACCAATTCGACAACATTTAACAAAAGCCTGCCTAAAGGGGAAAGTAGTGGGAGCTGTTACCAGGATTTGGAAAAAGTAGTTAAAGCTATGTTATTGTTGTTAAAGTGCCATCAAGTTGGTTCCAACTCATAGCAGTCCTGTGTAGGGTTTCTGAGGAACGACTGGTGGATTCGAACTACCAGCCTTGTGGTTAGCAGCCCTGTGCTTATCCTCTCTAGGAGAGGACATGTAACAGAAGCTACAGCTCTGAATTAAGGGATGTAGCCAACTCCTGGCAAACCAGCCAGATTTTCAGACAGTGCCTCCCTTTGACCAAACCCAACTGGTAAGTAGACTCAGGCAGGAATTTGTAGTTGAAGTAATCATGTTCTGTCTCCTCAGGCAGAGAGAACAGTGGAGAATGGTGATTTGGAGGGACAACCAGAAAATATTTTGCACAGATAGTTATCTAGTGAATCACTTCACAGATTCTGAATGAAATTCATTAAAAATCATTGAAAACAGATATTAGGTACAATGAGTGACCAGAAGTTTCCTAGGATTTCACATTAATTCTTGAACTCCACTAACTACTTTTGTCCTAATTTATGTCTCTTCCAAACTCACTAGTGTCAAGTAGATTCTCACTCATTGCATCCCTATAGGAAACAGTAGAATTTGACCATAAGGTTTCCAAGGCTGTAGTCTTTACATTAGCAGATTGCCTTATCTGTCTCTTGTGGAGTGGCTAGTGTTTGTGAACCACTGAGAATTACCAACCTTTTGCTTAGCAACAGAAAGCTTTAACCACTGCACCACTGAGGCTCCTCTTAATCACTAAAAACTTTATAAAATATCACTTCTGTATTTTAGATATAAAATTTGAAATGTAAAACATTAAAATATATTTTTTCTGTTAGCAAAGCATACTTACTCTCTATGTTTTGTATATTATCACTAAACGTTTTAAAGTGTTTAAAATAATAACTCAACATTAATATAAACCAACCCAAATGCTTATAATAGTAATATTCATAAAAGTTACTAACATCTTTACTTTTTTCTTAGCAAGTAAATGCTGAAATCATCCTTCACAAATGTTTATCTTCAACTCTGAACCCAATAGGCACCTTAACCACATCTTTTCTTAATTTTTATTTCCTCTGATTAATTGTCCTCAAGTATAAAAAGTTTTCCTATCTCATTTGATTTGTTTGGCAGCACATGTGAAGAGTTGACTCTGGAGCTAGACTATCAGGATTAGATCCTGATTTTGCGATTTTCTAGCTGTGCATTCGCTGATAAAATTCCTCTTTTACATGTTATTGTTAAGTGCCATCGGGTTGTTTCGACACAGAGCACCCTGCATAGAGTTTCTAAGGAGCATCTGGTGAGTTTGAACAGCTGACCTTGAAATTCAAATGACTTACAGCCTAGTGCTTATTCAACACACCAGGACTCCTTGCTTATAATAAGGGTACAATAATTTTGTTCACTGTATAGGGCTGTTTGTGAACAGTGCCAGGCATATAGTTAATACTAGATAAATAATAGCTCCTTTTCACTTGTTTACAATACTGGAGACAACTCGTCTCATAGATGACTAAACATAATAATAATAATAATAATAATAATAATAATAATAATAATGTGTTATGATACTTTTCCCCCCAGTTGCTTATTCAATGAAAGCCATTTACTTTTTTTTTTTTTTTAGTGCTTCTACTCTCTTCTACTTTTTAAATACACTTATTATTTTGGCGAAGTGGAATACCTCTATCATGTAATGTCCTTTGTAGTTTCAAACTGTCAGGTCTTACTCTAACCCAAAATAATGATCATGTTTAGCTGTTGAAATGTTGATGATACATCTATTTTAGTTTTAAATCGTATTTGCATGTATGTTACATTTTACATTCCCAAAGTTACAGATTAATGTACAAAGAAATAGCAAAGACATAGTGGTTTTGAATAATATTCCCAAAGCATTTATCACTGAAGTGTCACTCTGTGCCCTGGAAATTATCTTTAGCCTGAATATCCATTAGGAAACAGAGGAAATTTTTGTGTGATCTTGATGCTTTGCTCTGAAATAGGCAAATACCCTTCATTCTGTTAGATTAAACTATATGAAGTTAGTGACACTCTATTGTTTTTAAGAAGCAAACAAAAAAAGGTAGCTTTTTTTGACTCACATTAATAAAGCCATTCTAATAAAGCCAATTCCTGGCAGTGGTTCTTGGCTATAAAGCCTTGTGTAAGGACTCAGTGCTAAATGATAGTGTTCTTTTCTTATTCCACTAGGTGTTGTAGAATATTTAAGCAATGGAGGAGTAGCAGACAACCATAAAGACTTCAAGGAACTGAGGTACAATGAATGTCTTATGAACTTCAGCTGCAATGGAAAGAATGGAAGCTCAGAAGGGAGAATCACACATGGCTTCCAACTGAAGAGCGCCTATGAAAATAACTTGATGCCTTACACCAATTACACCTTTGATTTCAAAGTGAGTAGAAACCCTTGGACTGATGTAGGAATTCTAATTATTTTAAATATAAGCATGTGCGTCCTGGTGTGGTGGTGTGGGTTTATGTGCTAGACTGGAAACTGTTTGAATTGCAAGATCGTGGTTCCAGTTCACTAGATGCTCTTCGGAACCCTATATAGGGTTTCTATGGGTCAGAACCGACTGGAAGACACTGAACAACAACAACAGCAAGCATGTGACAAGAAAAGTATAAATTTATCATTTATGCTTAATCGTATACCAGAAACTTTTAGAGTTTCAAAATGTAGAGTTTTAAGTGTATGCCTTAACAAAAGAAGGAGTCCTGGTGTGGCGCTGTAGAATAAACACTCCACCACAGGTCAATTTGAACTTCAAGATTGGTGGCTGAAACTCACCAGCTGCTCCTCGGAAACCCTATACAGGGTTGTTATGGGTTGGAATCGACTCCATGGCACTTAACAACAACATAACAACATCTTATGAACAAAGTTCTGGTCTGGCACTGTAGGATAAGTACTCGACTTACCCTGTAGGATAAGTACAGAGTTGCTATGGGTTGGAAACAGCTTGACACCACTTAACAACAATAAACATAAGAAAGTTTGTTAGGTTTTGTGGTTATTGTGTTGAGAATTCTTTTCGAACCTTGAACCCTTGTTTGCTCAAATTTCAAATAGTGACTAAAAGCAGAAACTTCTAAAATACTATGTTCAAGGCACTTTATGTGTATTAGTATAATTAATCCTCACTTATCCATACCACTGTAGGGACCCAAATAATAAACACCTGATATAGCTAATCTCACTTTGAATGAAATTATGTAATATTTCCTCAAAAATTTCTTAGTACTTTTAGTACTTCCTACTGATATCTTATTTATCGTTAATGTTTTCCACATTTCTTTTGGTGGTGGTGTTAGGGTTATACTTGAGGTCTGTTTTATATCCATTTATTTGTCCTAATACAGAGGGGCTTCAAAATGTTCATGGATAATTCCATTATCTTTTCATTTCCAACAAACATTTGAAGCTCCCTTGTAGAATCTCAGGCAGTGGATAGTGTTAAATTCAAGGAAGAGACATATATTTTAGCAAGAATTTTTAAAGAAGAGTGGCTGTTTTACACAGCCATCTATTATTTAGAACTGTTGATTTTGGTGACTTTCCATAGTAACCCCTTTCCTCTCAAATGTTCTGATCACTTCAAGGAACTAAGTGTAGCTCTTCCATCTATCTATCTATCTATCTATCTATCTATCTATCTATCTATCTATCTATCTATTATCTGACTTTCTGGCCTTTAGAATAACTATAATAAAATCTTGTACTATTCTGTAAAAAAAAAATGTAGATGTTAGAAAGTGGTTTTATATAAGAAGGAACCTAGAGTAAATTTAATAAAACACAAAGGAAATGGGCTCTTTAACATCTCCAATAGCCTTTTTCCATTTTCAGTACTTGTTAGCCCCTTTTCTGAGAAACAAATTAGCAGGAAGGAGAAAGAAAATTAATCGGTTAATGTTTATGAATCAGCTTTTGTCGTCATGAAGTGCAAAACAAATGGTTAGAAGAAATTAAATCTAGTTGAGTATTCTTATTATTAGAGTAGCTAATTCTGTCCAGTCATAGTTAATTTTGTTGAAATCAGTTATAAGCAGTGATGTGCCAATAAATAACAGTCAACTTTCTGGGAAAAAGAAATACTGGTTTATAGTGGTTTCTGATTTCAGTGGTATAAATACTATTACTGTAACAGATTTCAAGCTATCAACATAATGTCACTGGATGCAGATTTGGGAAGAGATGTGCTAATAAAGTTGGTACAAGCTGGCTTCAGTACACCACTGCTCTTATGTGATGTAATCTTAAAGAAAAACCTCTAGATTCAACTATGCACAGTTTACTATAGGTTAACTCCTGTCCTTGTGACACAGTGAAATATATTTGAATACATCTCTCCTAGCGTAACCCAGAAAACCTATAATAAAATTTCCCAAAATAAGTGCTCAATAATATTACAGTTATTATTGATTTTGTACCTGAGTAGGTGGTGAAAAAACAAATTCATTTTGAACTAATTAATTTGAATATTTTTGAAGGTTGCTTCTTCCTTTTCATAAAGCAGAAATTAGAGAAATAAAATTTGGAATATTAATCTATGCCATTTTCCTCAGCCATTTGAATTGGTTTAAAATTCTTTGTTGATGGGAAAAGTCTCTCATATGTTAATAATTGAATAAAAAATCTTATCGAACCATAGGCTCTATTTTAATGTTTAAAGGAGTCCTGGTGTGGTGCTGTGGGCTAATGCGTTGGACTGCAAAGTCAGTTTGAACCACAAGGTCGGCAGTTCAAGCTCACCAGCTGCTCCTTGGAAACCCTATACAGGGTCGCTATGGGTTGGAACCGACTCGGCAGCACTTAACAACAACAGAGGTACAGTTAAGAATCTTAAGTACCTGACGCAGATAATTTTTGATGTTTGGATATATAAGATGCGTTGGGAAAGGAGGAGAGAGCAGTAAATCCTCAAGAGAGGCATGTATGAGACTATAAATACGTTAGCTGATGGATTAATGTATAGGATGGAAGGGAGGAAAGGAATGGGAAGGAAGGATGGTCAGGCAGTGAACTAAGGTCGTAAATGACCAGACAGAATTCAACGTCTAGACTAAATAGCAGACCATGAACTTTGCAGTTTTAACTAAAGCATTTTACACAATTAGTGCTATACCAACATTTCAGATAAAATCAGAGCACAAAGGAATTGTTGTTTGGTGTGTCGAATTGGTTCTTACTTGAAGTGACCCTGTGTACAACAAAATGAAACACTGCCTGATCCTTTGCCATTCTTATAATTGTTGCTCTGGGTAAGCCATAATTGTTGCAGCTACCGAGTCAATCCTCACTGAAGGTTTTCCTCCTTTTCTGTGACCCTCTGCTTTTTCAAGTATAATATCTTTCTTCAGGGACTGGTCCCTCCTGATAGCATGTCCAGAGGACATGGGATGAAGTCTCTCAATCCTTGCATCTAAGGAGTATTCTCACTGTAGTTCTTCGAAGATAGATTTGTTTTCATTGTTTTTGGCAGTCCATGGTAATTTCAATATTCTTCTTCAACACCATAATTCAAATACATCAGTTCTTCTTTATTCACATGCATATGAAGTGATTGAAAATACCTAGGCTTGGGTCAGGGGCTCCTTAATCCTTAAAGTGACATCTTTGCTCTTTAACACTTTTAAAAAGTCTTTTGCAACAGATTTGCCAAATGCAATATTTAATACTTTAAAAAAGGTCTTTTGCAATAGATTTGCCAAATGCAGTATGTCATTTGATTTTTTTGACTGCTTTCTTTGATGGGCGTTAATTGTAGGCTGAAGTAAAATGAAATCATTGGCATCATAAGTCTTTTCTGTCTTTATGATGGTGTTATTTATTGGTCCAGTTGTATGGATATTGTGTTCTCTTTATGTTAGTGTAATTCATACTATCTTTGATCTTCATCAGTAATTGCTTAAGTCAAGACTCTTCACTTTTCATTGAATAGCTTATCTCAAGTCTTACTGAATCTTCTCTGTGGTTGTGATGCCATATTCTTTATATAGTCCAGATTTTCAGATTAGTTGCTTCAGCATCCAGATTAAATAACTACAGTGAAAGAACACAATCCTGATGCACACCTTTTATGATTTTATTTTATTTTAAAGCATTTTTTTTTTTTTTATCCTTTAGGTGAAAGTTTACAGAGCCAATTTGTTTTGTCTTCACTATTTTGTACATACAGCATTCCATTACACCGGTTGCATTCCACACAGTGTTTCCCCATATGTACCCTGGATTTTCCATTTCATCTGGATTTTCTACCCTTCTGCCTCTTTTGCTTTTGGACAAATGTTCATTATATCTAGTTTAGTTAGTTGATTATTCTAAGGAACATGTTCATATTTAATTAATGGGCCTATCCATTGTTTGACTGGAAGTGGTCTCTGGGAATAGGGTCAATTCTATGTCAGAAAGGTGTTTTGGGGTCAGTGTTCTGGTTTCTTCCAGTCTGGTGTTTTGTGTGTGTGTGTGTATGTGAATATGTTGTTGTTGTTTTTTTAATTTAAGGTTTTTATTGTGGATTGAGTGAAAGTTTATAGGGCACATCATCAGTTTCATATTCAACAATTCATATAACTTGTTTCATTACATTGATTATAATCCCCTCCATATACCATCAG